CTCAGAAAAAAAAAATAAATAAAGGCAATTAGAAAACTGCCAGAAAATTTTCCAGTGGCTGCGTTTAAAGATCCTATCTCCCACTGGGAAGAAAATCCAATTTCCTTACAAACTAAAGAGGCTGGAGCTAAGAAAAGCTTCCCTGCATCAGTCCCCCAAAATCCAGTGGGGAAAGGGCTCAGCAGCTCCTGGACCAGTCTGCAAATGCTGTCAGTGCCATCAGGACCATGTCCTGCAGCTGATTTATCCACCTGGAACAGGCAGCAGAACCCACCAGAGGACTCAGGGATGCTCCATTAAATCCGCATTTTGCACAGTCCTGCAGAGGTTGGCAACAGGAAACGGGTGTCCTTGTTAAGGGCTTGGGTGGCTTTTCAACTTGGCATTTTCTCCTTGGTTGGAATAAGACAAATGAGGAATTTCACAGCCAAAAGGTAGTTCCTGGCTGTCCCTCTTTCCCTGGCCGCTTCTGTCCAGCTTGGCAGGGTCACAGGCATAGCAGGAATTCTAGAATTTTATTCCTACCATTTTCTGGTGCTTCTTAAAGGTAATTTTATTTATTAGGGAAAAAACAGTGATGCTTCTAACAAATTTTTTTGTGAGGGTGGGGAAGGCCTGGCACAGGGTGCCCAGAGCAGCTGTGGCTGCCCCTGGATCCCTGGCAGTGCCCAAGGCCAGGCTGGACAGGGCTGGGAGCAGCCTGGGATGGTGGAAGGTGTCCCTGCCATGGCAGGGGTGGCACTGGATGGGCTTTGAGGTCCCTCCCAACCCAAACCAGTCTGGGTTGCTGGTGCAATGTGGGGTGGACGTTGTCCCCTCCCAGAGCCCTGCTCCTCCTCCCTGAGCTGGATCCAAGCGTGACTCAGCCCCACGGAGTTTTTTATCAGCTCTCACACACGGCCTCAGCACCCAGAAACGGCCCCAGCCCCAGCCAACAGCCACAACCCCCCTGGGAAATACAGAAATAAATACAGGGGGAGGGAGCTGTGGGCTCCCGGCACCCCCCAAATCCCACCCCGGCCCCCAAAGCCCTGCTGAGGTGTCTGGATCCGGGGTCCTGCTGTTCTGGGGCTCAAGCAGTGACATTTTCCACTTTCCTCGTGGAAACCCACATTTCCCACGTTTCTCATCCCAACCTCGCTGCCCCCCAGGAGAAATCCTGCAGCTGCCTTCCCACAGCACCCACAGTGGCACCACTGATAACTCAAAAGAGTGACTAGAAGGGAGGAAATATTGAAATATTTTGGGTTTAGAGTGTTTAAAAAGTGACTTCATGAC